GGTTCGCCACCACTGGTTTAGAGAATAACGCTGCCTCCTCTCTTTCCTCATGTGGGAGCACACACAGTGCAGACAAGAACAGTGGGCTTTTTCGAAGCCATTCAGTGTATGGGGATGCAGGTCTACCCTGTGTTGCAATCAGTGCTTTGGGCTGCCAATTTTAATTCTAAGCAAACTGATGAATTCAATACAGTAGGTAATTTGATTAAAAATGGAATATTCTTTGTAAATAACACTTAAATCTTAGTGGGTAATCATGGCTTAATTCTCACTGAATTTATTTCAATGCAATTAAAACATTAAAAATAAAACAGGTAGTATTTTTCAATTATATTCTTATACAGAGAACTGGGAAAAAATACATTGTTATTAAGCACCACGCTTTATTGATTTAATTTATATCTCGCCTTTCTCCCAAAACTGACCTGGTTAGTTTTCTGCTCAATGGTGGATTGTGGATTGTAATTCCACTTTAAATTGTCATAAATATGCATATATTAAATTAAGACATGCAATGTCAAAGCAAAAAATGTCTTTCTTTTGGATATTTTTGTTCTTTATGTTGGTGTTGCTTGTCTTCCGTTTTGGTGAAGCACCAGCGGCAACCGTAATGTTGGAAGTGACTGAATGTAACTCGGTTTACATTTGAGGAGATATATGTTTTTGTTTGGGGAAGAGCATAAAGGACCTCCTCTGATATACTAGGCTTTCCTTTACCTTTTGTGACCTGTGCTGACTTTCCTTTGACCTTAGATCCCTATTCTTTAGGTTGCTGATGTCACTTCTTACACCTGTCTGGTGTTAGTCCAAGGAGGAAGCGTCTTGGATTTGATCTCTAGACATGGAAGGGGTAGCCATGGGTCCTGACATCTTCAAGTTAATTAGCTAGAACTATGACTTCATATGCCAAGTCTCTAATACATTTTCTTATTTCCTTAGAAAGAAGCTGTGGCCATAGCTCCTGTACAGAGAAGTGCGCTCAGGATCTCAAAGTGCTACATCCCGAAGTTAATGCTGTTGCAGTACTGCTGCATGTACAGTTGCCAACACATGGTTATGCCACTTCTACTAGCTGAGTCCAGGTAGCCTTTATTTATGAGGAAGTCTCACTGTATTTAATGGACCTGGAGCTGGGTAAACAGCTTTTAAAAATAGTTTTTAGGGAATCAAGCAGCATTATGTTTAAGTGGAGTGTGGAAGTTAAGATACAGCACATGGAATTGTATCAACGTGCCCATCTTTTGAACAGAAAGGTGATCTGTGGTATGAATTTCTTCACTTTTCGTTGTCCATCTCCAAGCCTTTTTTTTTTTTTAACATCAAAGGTTTTCTCTTTGGTGAATTTTCCTGCACTTTGCATCATAGGAATACACAGACATCAATGCCAGGGAGGAAACGTCTGTCTTTAGTGAACTTTGTATGACGGCCATGAGTAAAAAAAATATAAAAAGCTACTGTGCAAGTGAGTAACTGGGGCAGAGCAATACTCACAATACAAAGCAGACTAATTCCCTTCAGCCTAGGAGCAGAATTTGTAAGGACGCTACACCCACCTACAAATGAGAGGAAGTTGCAATTTAAGTCTCTGTCCCAAAGATACAAGTTGTGCATACTGCACAGCATTACTCATAAAACCTTCCCCAAAAGATTGTTGTTGTGCTGCCTAAACCTTCTCCCTGGGAACCATATTCCAGGATTAGATGTGCTCCATAAAATGCAGGTTCCACCCAAGGGGGGGTATTAGAAAAACAAAACTTTCACTGCATAATTGCTGCTGTATTCTACTTTGGAAAAAATGCATCAAAAAATTGAAAGCTACAAAGAATGTGTATTTCTCAGTCCTTCAAAAATTTCTTCAGTGATCCAATTTCATCCTTTAACAAGTCAAAATGTTAAAAAAAAACTTTAACCACAAACAAAAATGGGTTAAAACAAATTTCCTTATTACACAATCAATTTTTGATGATTTGTCACATGAAGAGAAACCTGTTTATCAGGCATTCTGGAGTGATTTCTTGAGAAGTGAAACTTAAAGACACTGGCATCAAGAGTAGTGGGGACAGAGAACACAGTGTCTCCTCTCTGGTTTTTTTTCCACACTGGTTCTTTCCAATTGAAAGGTGGGCATATCTGCTTATAAATCCCCTGGCCATTTGCTGTTAGGATATGCTCTGGTGCTAGCTTGCACTGCAGCAGCTTTCTCTGTCCTTTTCTGAACCCTCAACTTACATTTTCTACATCTCCTTGTATATTGTTCACTTGATATAGTTAGGAAAAAAGTTTGGGACTAGTAGATTAATGGATTAATATTTTATAAATCAACAGGGAAATATTAGTTTTATGCCCCTTTGTGGTGTATCAGGCAAGGGATTAAGATTTTGTTAGAGACAGATCTATTAAGTCAATAAATTTGTTGTCTTTTGTGTGTGATTTTCATTGATTTTGTGTTCTGCTGTAGCAAAATCAGATAATGTCTTTGGGTAGTGTCTGCAGGCAGTATAAAATGTAGGTGTGGTAGAAACAGTAGGTACTTGGGGAAGGCTGCAGGAATACTGCTTGCACTACTACTGAGAGAAATGGAAGAGGAAAAAGGCAGCCTGAAACTGCTATTGTGAGTTCTCCAAACAAAATACATCACCCAGGTGCCTTCTTTAACACTGACACTATGAAAGAGCAACAGAGTATGTGTGTCTCTGCCAAGGAGGTGAGAGAAGTCTCTGGTTCAAGGTGGGACAGATATGAGTGAATATCAGACATGCTCCAGTGATGTCTTTGTGCAATCCAGCAAGGGGCCAAAAAGATTGTGAAGACACTTTTCTCCCAAAGAGTCGATGCATCAGAGAAAGACAAGGATGACACCTGCAGTCAGACTGCCACTGTTAGCTTGGGCAGCAGGAGGGATGATTAAGAATAGATCCCGCCCCTCCTCTGTATGACAATCTTTCAAGTATTTGAACTTCATTACAGGGAACCTCTCCAGTCCAAGAAAATAACAG